ATAAAAATAACAACAAATCGCGTGGCCCTTGTCGAAAATCGAAGGAGTTATGCCTATCACATAAGTAATCGTTCAGATTCTAATACACGCGGACCTTCGGTCCTTCGCTCATTTTGCAACGCTATTTACAGATGATATCTTATTTTTCATAAAAAATATCAATGCAGCTTTATGCGCGTGGTCGCTCGTACACTCGGAGCGACATATCATCACCTTTCCGGCTACGCATTTTATTTCAAGACATCGTTTATCCGACCTGCATTTAACATTTAACCCATCGTCACAAACGAAGACTCTATACAGACGACTACTTTATCGCGAGTGCATCCCTCAAACGGTGGTAGGAAAGCTATCCGACATACGTTCGCATTAGAAATCGATTAGATTCGCTTCATCAACGCGCTACCGATTCAAGTGATTCAATTTTATATATGAATACTCATTCGTAATTTCTCCGCGTACTTTGCGATAAGTTGATTGATGTTATACTATAATAGATCACATTAAGTCGCCAAGTATAATTGTATGATCGATCGACTTTGTTTCGCACTTTGCATTGCCTGTCTTTTTGTCAGTGTTCGAATACGGTATAACAAATGGAGAACCGAGATTTTTACGTTTCGAATTCGTCGACTTACATATTCCGCTTTACGGCGAGAAATACTTATTTCAATCGCCATCAATTCCAAAATTTCGAATCGCGTCGGATCTTAATCCGTATCGATAACGGCAACATACGCTTGTGTCGCATGAATATTCGGTACACCCTCTTCATCAAAAAATGCATGACAGAGGTAGAGAGAGAGAAGGCGAGGGGAACAAACGGCGAGCAATCTCATCCCATTCGTGGATGTTGTTGAGTCTGGTGTTGCTGTTGCTGTGCAGAGTAATTTCTGACGGTGTGCTCTCTCTGGTCTCTCTGCCATTCGCGGGCCTGCGCTACTTCCTTTCTCTGCTGCTCGTTTTTGTTGTGCTGTCGGTGGTAGATGCTCTTGTGGTTGCGCAGACTGTTTAGACTGGAGTAAACCCGCTTGCAGATGTTACAGATCGGTTCCTTGCTGGGCCTGGTGTGCACGTTCTGTATGTGCCGCTTCAACCGCGTTAGGGAGGTCAGGTTTTTGTTGCACGGCTCGCATCGAAACTCATCGCTCGCGCCGCTGCCGGCCAACAGACCTGGCGGCAGAACCAGACACACAGGGGTTACTACTTTTGTAGGGGTTTTTGGCGCACGGAACGTCGCACAGACGTCGGACAGGTGGACATGTAGACATTAGACTGGGCCAGGGGAGGATTGAGATAGAGAGAAAAAGAGAGAGAGAGAGAGAGAGAGAGAGAGAGAGAGAGAGAGAAAGAGAGAGGATATCATCCCCAATGTATTTCTTTACTTTGCCCTTTCCTTTTTCTTTTCTTTTTTAGGGGAGGGAAGGTTTTTTTCTAGCCGCGGCCTCGTCTCTCGCGATCGCACACCACCATTTCACGCTCCTACACCACCGTCACATTTAAGATCACACCACCAGTTTTCGCAGCTGAGAAAATATCGTGCGCCCGTGTGCTCTCTTTTTTTGCCTCTTAGTACTTTATTTTGCACCTTTATTAATCGAGCATACGTTGTACCACCGTCACCCGACAAGCCGTGCCCAAACTCGTTTACGTGTTACTTCTTAAAACCACCTTAAGTTATATATGCTTTATGGGTGCTGCTACTGTCATTGTTGCTTGCGCCTCATTGCGTGATGTAACGATTATCACAAGGGGAATGCCTTCTAACGCACACCGGATGCAACCATTGTCACCGTATATTCCTCGTTTTTTCCCCTTCTTTATTTCTTTTTCAGATATTTTTGTATATAGATATGATCAACTTCTTTCTGTAAAACCGACTACGTTATCATAGTTGTCATCATTAATCTCTTTATCGCAACCATAATTTAAAGAGTCACATCATCAATGTCATAGTCATTGTTAATTTCGTCGTCGGTGTCAATGTCATATTGTCATCTTTTCGATCTTTCTCTTATTCTGATGCCGCTTTGTCGTCATCGTTATTTTTAATTGCTAACGTCATCGTCGCAGTTATCTTCCGTTTTCATTTCTTTCGTTACCAAAAACCAAACGAAACACGATGTAACAAATAAAGATAGAGATAGTTTCCGTGCATCGAAATTCATAAAATCACATTGGTTCAGTTTATTCGACTAAATTTATTTAGCCATTTTATTTCGTCTCACATCTGAACGAATCATCAAGTTTGCCATTTCAATATAGTTCGATGTGTCCATTATTGTCATGTGATCGACATCTCCTCACCTTTAACCTCGTCAATATTAACATTATTATCAACGTTATATCCTTCTATTAGTCTGATCATTATCATTTGTAATGTGATATACAATAAACGGTTTATAACCATCATTATAATGAGTACCGTCATCGTCCTTGTCTTTGTCGTCAATATTCTCCAACATTATCATTATCGCGTTCGTCATTCCTGGCTCAATTTTTGCCGCTGTTTTCGTTTACTGCATTTGCGTTCTACAAGGTATATTTTTTATTTTTATTTTTTCGCGATTGATTTCATAAAGCTAGTTTGGAGAATTTTACACGACTGATTTTTATCAAAATATAGTAAAGTAAAAGAAACATTTATATAAAACTATAGATTATACTAACTCTTGTAACACTTATTGTTATTATCATTAAACAATATAAGTGAGAAATAATAATTTTATATAATAACAAAAAATTAAATGCTAAAACATTAAACAAGAAGAATGCTAATACATGACATAATCTCATATATAGTTAATATTTCAAATAGTTTATAGTGATATTTTCAGAGAGAACGATATGTAATATCAAATGATGTATTATTGTAATATCTCAATTTATACGTTACTCTTTCGCTTATGAACATTGATTTTACTCAATCAATTAGCTGTATTTTGTACAATCACGTAACGATCGAATTTAAATCTTTACGAAATACACTATCAAAGTGTGTTATATTGAATACGATGACAATGGTAATAATCGCGATGCTCTATTCTGGAAGGCTTTTCTGAGACGATTTGTTTGCAACATCTCTCAGCTCGTTGTGTGACATTGATTTCTTTCAAACGCAATTAGGATAACACAGTGCAAGCAGTTCTAAAGTTCCAGCGAACGATCGTGAGCGATGAAGTTAGTGTTTCATGATCACCAGATGTGTGTGTGTGTGTGTGTGTGTGTGTGTGTGTGTGTGCGCGCGCGCGCGCGTGTATATATATATTTATATGTGTATGTACATATATAAATATATAGATATATATCAATATCAATGCATTATTTACAGCAAAATAGAGCGTAATACCTTATATGTATATAGATATATGTACATTTACGCGTATGAATATGCGCGGGAGAGTGAAAATATGTGCGAGCTGTGTACACAAATGCGATATCTGTTTCTAATGAGGTGATGCGAATGAAGCGTAATGTATTCTATATTTCATGATTAATGGCATTTTCGTAGCCTTGAGCGAAAGAGCTACTAACAGAAGTTCTTTCTTCTCGCGCGATATTTAGGCCGTGAGAGATAGCGCTCGCTCATTAGAAACAACATTTTATTCGTTATTTCTTTCTTTTAATTACTTATCTTCTTTATTTCTCTTCGCCGCTAAGTCGCGACGACTTTTATATATATATATACATATATATACATACATATATATATTATATATATATTGTATTATATACGCCGCGTTATAACAATAGATCAGTAGTTTTTCTTAAATATAATTATAATCTCGCGAGTACAGGAACAATGCGATATTTATTTATATCAAAACGAACGTAGCTATAACATTTTGTGCAACGTGAGTCTTTATAAAAACGTAACATTTTTTATTTCTCTTTGTATGTAACTAATGAAATGTCACAGATTGCATGTCAAATAACATTTGATTAAAAAACAATCTGATCTATTAAACAGTCAACCAGCATTTTTATAACGACTTCAGCTTTATAATACGTTCAATATCGGGGAATAGATAACAGCAAAACAATTCACACTCTTTTTCCAGTAAAATCTCATTGGATAAACGTCGACTAGTAATATTATTTTATAAGTACGAATATATTAGTGAGCGTATCCAAAAGACGAATATATGAAAAAATTAAAAACCGAAGATTCAGAAGGATATGACTATTTTGCCCGATTTTGATATTATAAACTCAAAAATTTAGGAATGCACCGGATCGTAAAATTACCAGATACTGGATACCGGATATCCAAAAAGAATCTAACATCGGATATCCGGGAAAACAATTTTTCGAGTCGGATATCTGATATTTTCCGGATATCCGACCGGATTCCGGAACAATGTCTTCTAAATAAATAATTTAAAAAATAAAAAAATAAAAAAAAATAAAAAAAAATAAAAACTTTAGACAAAAAATTGTAATTTTGCAACAATACATAACATATTATAGCATTGAGTATGCATGCTTATTCATAGAACATTTATATAATAAAAAAATCCACAATTTAATAACATAAAATTTCAACCGGATATATTTCCAGATATTAATGATATCCGACTATCCGGATAGTAAAAAAGTGCCGGATAATACCGGATACCGAATACTTTTTGGATATCCGGTGCATCCCTACTCAAAATAATGCATCCGACATACTTTCATTACCAAAAACTAAACGAAACAAACGTCAGAGATCGTTTTCGCGCATCAAAATTCAAACTCTACAAAATCGCATTTTAGTTATTTCAGCTAAATTTATTCTATTAATTAAGTAATTGTACTCTACGCTATATAATATTGCGTTTTTGAGGTACCGATTTATAGATAAAGAATTGCTGACAGTTCTTTTCTTTGGTCTTAACTAAGGTAATCTGCCGAAGGAATAAACGACTAGCAACATTTCGCTCCAATACTGTTGAGATATAATTACAATACATCAGCGGTAGCGTAACATACTATAAGTAGAACACATTTATACAAAACGGGTAATGTCTTCTATTGACAGCCGGTAGACAACATCTCTCTCTCTCTCTCTCTCTCTCTCTCTCTTTCTTTCTCCGTAGAAATCTCCAAGGTTTGCATCGTACGTGCACTCTGTACACGACGATTGTATTCTTAGTTTTTTTTATTCATCGTATTTTACGATACAACGGAGAAGTTCGTCCTAGATCAGTGCTGCCGGTCAATACGTGACTTCGCATTTTGCTTCTTGCTCTTTGCGATCCTTGCGAGCGTGATACTGGCTTTTATGACTGACCAGACTGTTCTTGGACTTGTAACTTCTACCGCACTGATCACAAGATAAAGATTGCGGCACGTAAAAATGCGTGTCAGCCAAGTGTCTCTGCAGGGACCAAGCGCGTGAGAAGGTTTTCTGGCAAAAATTGCAGTAAGTGCGATTCGTGGATTTACGATCCGATTCATAATAGGCACGCAACGCGTCTACGCGCTTCGATTGCAGGATACCGTTTTGTGATCGTAACCGCAGGTTGAACTGTGACGGTGCGTCATTATTCGAAAATCTTCCGGACGTTTGCGGCTGTTGTTTATCTCGAAGGTCATCGTGACGATACTCATGCGTCGAATCAAGATCCGTATGCCTCTCGAGTATATGATTCGACAATAGGCAGGACTCGAGCTCGTCCATCCTCGGCGAGATAGGCTCCGATTTCAGCACGATCTCCATCTGATCGTTAATGTTGTCTAAGAGATCGATTATCGGCAGCTCTTGAGGTTGCGATTGCACCATCGTCTCGCCGTATCGATTTGCGCTTGTATTTTGGTTCGATTCCTGTACTTTTCGGTGGTATTCGATGTTGGTAGCGGACTGCCAACCCCCGTCCTCCTCGGTGACCTCCTGGTCTGCAACCAAAGAGGAGGGGGCTGAGTCCAACCGGATTCACGCGACATTATTTAATACCATAATGAGCAACTTTCAGTACGAATATTTATTCTCTTTCTTTCTCTCTCTCTCTCTCTCTCTCTCTCTCTCTCGCTCGCTCTCCCCCTTGCTTTCTCTCCTACTTTCACACACTCTCTTTCTCTTTATAGTAATGTAAGACGCACGATTTCTGAAGCTGATTCTCGACAAAAGTGAATTGAAACGCTTTTACTAAAATTGGTAATGTCTAACGGTTGTATTCTTAGCGCAAAGTCGACGAACAAATGAGAGCGACGTCTTGTCAAGACAGCGCGAGAGTCAGTAAATCTAAACCACAATTGACTTGAGAAAGATTCAAACTGGATCTGTTCTTGAATTGGCGTACAGACTATTCAATCTATCCAATTTATTTGACGTTATTTAAAATTAGACTACTATTACATTTGTAATGTAGTGGGAAAGAAAATGTCATTAGAATATGTCATATTGAAATTTAAAATTCTGCTTTTGACGGCGGAATTATGGAGTTAAAAGACTAGACAAGGAAAAGCAAATATGGACAATTATAAACGAAATCCAACGCAATATATCGACGCAATTGTAAAATGAATAACACGTTGGGTTGACTTTACATATCATTGCCCGCGGGCGGGGCGCTTTTACTCGTCATTTATTTTAATTCCATGATTTTGCCATGGACACAATATTAAGGACACAGTATTAATACAACAATTTCAAATAGATGATTTTTCCTTCCGCTATTATTTAACAGTAGAAATAAACATTTAGAATTAAATTCAAGTTTAGCTAATTCGAACATGCACAGCAATCGATCTATTAGGAGAACGGATTGTTTATACAATCGATTTATAAGGAATCGAATCCACCGAAAGACGATGCGTTGGCACATTTGACACCGTAATTCATCAGGTCAGAAGCATGTCGTTAGGATGACAACGATCGTTGTCGACAGAAGCACGGCGGAGTTCGCGAACGCTTCTTTGCGGGATTTTACCCAGCCGGTTACCCGTGGCAACGCTACCCCACATCGGTCCTCCGCTTCTCTACTTTGCCCTTCCTCTTCGTTTCGCGCCCCTCGTGATCCTGCCACCGCCGCAGCCAAGCGCGCGCCTCCCGGACCCCCGCGTTCACCCCGAAGCGTACCTCCTCGTGATACAACCAAGAAGATATATATATATATATAGGATGTATATTATTCTTAATAACCCCTGTATGCCGTTACGCTGTATTATGACTGATGTTGACTCTAAGCGCGGAGAGAGAAAGAGCGAGCAGCTACGATCGATAGGCTGCTCTGCTCCAGGTAAAACGAGTCTAGGACGTGGAACGTTGTGAAACATCGGGGAGAAAATTTATAACACGATTGAGAATTTTAGATTAGCTCCGCGCGTGCCGCTTAATATTTGGCAATTTACATAAATACGGTATTAACGGTTATCTCCGAGTACGACTGGATACGATACAACGGATATAGATTTGATCTGAATGTCATCTCGAACGAGATTGCTGTTCTGCATTTAAATGTTATCTACTGATATAAAACGAAACTGTTTTTTTCCAACCGTAACTATATATAACTACGTAATTCGAAAAAGAGAACGTTATACTTAAACATATATGTATGAAACGCTCTTTTTTTTCTCTTTTTTTTTCGTCATCTCACTTGCATAAAACGCGCGTTCGAGAATATCATAAAAACCTATGAGAGAGGTAACCCGTTCTCGCGCTCTGCACAATATCCGTACCCCCAGCGACGGAACGGATGGGCGTTCCGCAATAGGTAAGCATTATGCCGATAGACAAGCAACCCCCTTTTCTCTACGCTCGCCCGAGAAAACGAAGGGAGGATGCCCGAGTTGTGTGACGCACAGCGGCCGCATATTTTCTGCCAAACTCGTTCAGACAACGGAGAGAGCACATGTTTTACGACGCGCAAGAGACATCGCACAAAGCGACTCGAGAAGTTTTCTCATGTAGATTGTGCGTCGCTATTCTTAGCAAGGAGCACTCGTTGGCTTCTCTAACAGGCGCAAACAGCGGCTCGCGATATAAGCCAGTTGCTTCTTGCTCTCCGCCTCTCCGCGCTAATCTCCTTCAGATTATACACGAGAGAGAGAGAGAGAGAGAGAGAGAGAGAAAGAGAGATTTCGAAAAGTGCGTGGAAGCGATTTAAGGTGCATTCAGTGTTACATAAACGTCTCATTAAATTCTATCATTTCGGTAATAACGCACGCGCGATCGTTCAATTCGGAGTAACGCGGAGGTCAATCGGGTAATAGTGATATCGTAATATTTTTTTAATGATAAACAATATTGTTATAGAATCGTTAAAACAATATTATATATATTGGATAAATATATATTATTAAGCGAGAATTACAATTGATGACTTATCATATACGTTCTTTATTCTCCGGTCGTTCCCGGTTATATTGCTTTTGCCTAGATATTAGCGATATTAGCGACGAAAAAGAAGGTCATCGTGACCCGCGACGTTTAAGTAGATTGCATCGCTTACATATATATTCCCGAGCATATCCCCAGCAAGAATCTCAGATAAAGGAACGCGCGTATCCGAATAGATAATCATCGATAACAATCAAGGAAAGTCTATGTAGACATAATCATCCGTGCCGCGATATCTTCGTCACACTACAGCATGACATTGCTCTTTCATATCGTGATTATTGTGATCGATGTGTTATCCTAATCGACGAACCTATGAGGAAAAGGGAACAGCTTTGTTTGGAAGATTCATTCGAAAGATCGTGGGCCACGATGCACAGCGAAAGTTGTAATCGTAGTGTCCCCTGCCCCCTTCTCCACTCTTTGTCTGTTTTTCTCTTTCTGTCACTTGCCTTCCTCCCCCCCCCCCCCCCCCCCCCGCTTCACGAATTGCCTCGCCATTTCTCTAACTGCTCGTCTCTCGAATTCTCTCTACCACAGCCGACTTGTCACGTCCTCCTCCTTCTTCTCCTCCTCTCCCCCGCGCCGTCGCCACCTCGCCTACGCTGTTGCGCAGTTTTCGAGGTCACCTCAAGTTCATCATCGATAATAGCGCGAACGAAAACAAGCAGCTAGACCTGGGCGTCCCCGATAAGTACGTACTACAGATAAAAAATTCCGTCGGATTTGGTTTCGGAGCGAACTTTCGTTTGGCCTTGGCGGGCGCCGCGCGTCCATCCGAGAATACGTACCGTTAATGCCACGCAGCAGGGGTTCCCTAATCCGGGCTCTCTCGCGGCACGCGGTGTCTCGACGGTCACGTGGACCGAGAAACTCGCACGGAAAGAACGTCCTGTGAACTCGCAAGTGTTCACCTCGACCGAATAGATCTCGGTGTAAATGGCGCGATTCTTTTTCGGATTACTTAAATTTGTTAACATCTCGAAAAAAAAAACGTTACTATGTATAATTTCGAGAATTTAAATAATTTTAATATTTATGTTGTAAAAAAAACTGTTGAGAAAATTTATTAGCAGAAAATACGATATACGAAATTTCCGACGTTTCCAGAATTAACAAGTCATAAATCTGTCAATCAATCTTACGCGCGTTCCTGTATATGTATATTTGAAATATTGGAATATAAATATGTTTGAAAGGGATTAAATCGCATGATAACTCAATTATTCGATAACGCATATCGACCGAAATCATCGAAACTCGTCAAAAATGAAAATTGGATTTTTGACACGTATTTTTGGCGACTTTTTTACGCGCAATTCTATAATTTAAAGTATCAAACCGTTCTCGTGTCGTGTGCTCCGTGAAACGGTTATTGACATTAATTATGCATAACATATAAAGCGCATCACTTGTAAATCATTTGTAACCAAGTTACATAGAAAACCCGTTATCAATGTCAACGTATGTTACACACGATTCCATTTCCGGCGCGGTCGCGTTAAGAAAAAAAAAAAGAAACCGACCGGCTGTCTTTTTACCACACGTGACGCACGTATATTACGCGTAGCGGGATGAACGAACGGGGAGATTTATAAGCGAGCGAAAAAAAAAATGAGAGCCACTGTACATCAGCATGATCGCAACTACCGAAACAGCAACGAAACGATGGTGGCTGACGGGTTCGGCAAAAAGGGGGGAAGGGAGGAGATAGTACGGGGAGGGACGAGGTATATTAGAGAGAGAGAGAGAGAGAGAGAGGGAGGGAGAGAGAGAGAGGGAGAGAAAGAGAGAGAGAGGGGGGGGAGAGAGAGAGAGAGAGAGAGAGAGAAGCTGTGGTATCGAATAAACAGACCAGCATGAACAAGAGACTCATGTCATCCCGGCAGAAGTTGACAAAACTTCTCATGCCATTTATTCGCGGCCTCGATAGATGGCGACATACCCGGGTTTCGCGTTACCTCTATCTGTGACTTTCGGACATTACGCAACAAGCGAAATTCCTCCTCGAATCGGCAACGAGTTTAAAAGGCGAACGCATTGTATGAGTGATGGCGAAAAAGGATAAAAAGGGGAAAGAGAGGAAAAGCTGGTGCTGACTAACGCTTTATCATGACATTCGACACGTTTGGAATTCAACAAAATAGCCACGTGTACACGCGGTGTATTCTAGGCCGCGAAATTCTATGGAGAACAACAATTGGAAACAAGATTAATGAAGCTGATGACGGTGATTTCGAAACGAATTCTGAATTCAACCCGGAGGGAGGGAGGGTTCTAACGCCGAAAGGTTTCTTGGATAGCTCTCGTGTAACTCATATAAATGATTTACCACGTTGCTTTCTCAATTCTACGTACAGAAAAATACATACTCTACACAAATAATAATTACTTGTTTCAATTTGTATTTTATTTTATTTATAGGCCAATTATATTTATGTTAAGAGAGAGAGAGAGAGAGAGAGAAAGAGTTCAAGTGTTACAATTTTTTGTATGATTAAAAATTGTAAAACTTCTAAAACTAATAACAAAAAACTTTAGTGAATCCTAAGAA